ACATTAGTTTTTCACACGTTTGGAAATAACGTAGAAAATCACAATTATCATATAATTTCTTTTTCTGCTTATTTCTCTCTAGTTTTTCAATTAGAGCCTATTAGCGAAAACGAATATGTAGTGGAATATGAAATTTTATCTCATATCGATCTAATAGAAAAGAACTAGAAAACATCAACAAGTAGATAAGAAGAAACTAACATAGTACGTTCTTATTCATACCCTTGAACAAAAGGTCTTCTTATTAAAGGAATCTTATCCGATTTTTATACAGAAAGTGGCACTAAAGTTGCACGAATTTTGTCAGGGGTGATACCAAAACATGAAGTCATCTAAAGACACTTACAGACACCTACAGACAACCAAAATAACTACAACTACATAGACATGTCTGTATAGTTATTTTTGGTTGTCTCTGCGTAACACATATAATGAAACTATTTCTGGGTGTCTGACCACTCACGATGGTTCCTTCAGCAGTTTTCTTGATTTTTAAACGATAATGAAAAAAAAAAGATTTTTAAGAAAACTGGTCCGTTCAGGGTTCGAACCTAGTGAGTTGTTCATGGGAATAAAACATGGGTTCTTCTATTGAGATACGGTGGACACATTTATGTATAAACATCGTATCTTTATATTCTGTCACAACATCTTTTTCAACTGTGAACTTCTGGGATAATTATAACAAGTTGAAAGCTGTGTATGCACCACTTAAGTGTAGTATTTTGAGTATGGAAATGGTGTGTATCAGATGGATATATAATTTAGTGCACCGAAACGTTAAGTTTATGATAGCGGATTCTAGACATGGGACTGCGTTGTTGAAATTCTTTGGCTTAGCAAGAATCTACGAAGAAAGAGTTATTTCTATGAAATCTTACTGGAACGAAATGAATCGAAAATAATTCTTGCAAAAATCTTGTAAGAATCGGATAAAGGATTGTTATCTTACAACTTTCTATCTTAGAACTTTCTTATAAAATTCTTATAAGATTCTTACGCGATTCTTATCTGATTCTTACGAAATTCGTACAACTTTCGTGTCACTTCCTGTCCAAGAATCGGGTAAGATTAGCTAAGATTCCTACCAGAAATTTCAAAAGTAAATTGTTTAGGGTAGTTCACAAACTGACTGTGTGTACCGACAAAACGTTTAAATAGTCTTTAAAACTGTTTCATGTAATTATTTTTTTATTAAGTACAAGTACTGATTAGCAACAAATACGATGATTTCCATTCTGATCTGTAAAAATATTGCATTATTTCTCTTATCAGATGCTTCCCATCAGAAAAATAACGAAGCGTTTAAAACAGATGAAACGCTAAGTCCAAAATGCATAATAGAATAACACTGTCCTCGGTTGAAGCTTTTAAAAGTCTTACCCATGTTATTCCTGAAAGACTAGATGTCAAGCAGAAAATTTATCCCTAGTAAGTGGTTCCTTCTTTAGTAGGTCGTCTATGCATCTGACGACTGGCTGAAAAAAATGAGCCAGTTGATTAATACAATAAAGTCACAGAATTCAACTATATTTGATGTCGTTTTCATGTAGTAACCCCTGTATAGGGCTTATCTACGTGATTTTTGGTAACTTATCTCTATTTATAGGGGCGTCTCTAAGAGTTGATTTAATTGTCATATCAAAGAAGACAGTTTACTCTACAAAATAAGATATTGCCCAGGCTTTTTCGTTATTTCATTGTGGAGCCATAATTATTTCAAAACGTAACCGACTTACCAGAAGTGAATTTTTACGTGGGCAAGCCGATATGCGATATTTTGGATTATGAGATCAATACCTGTTGACCCTCTAATTTCAGAAGAGTTTTCAAAAGTCCACAAACTAAAGGTAGAGGAAGCACTAAAATTTAACGACTTTTGTATCTATGTGAAACTTTCATTTCACATTTTGTAATGAAAAATTTTATATCTCGTATTTTGAGCAGTTTGGCGACCATTAGTCTACAGAGGGAAAGCAAAATTCTTACGATGCTGTATCGCGCTGAAGACATTGCATGACACTATACGCTTTCATCTATTTTGTTTAAAATAGGAGATATTGCACAATCATGAGTAAACGTTTTTTTCGCATTCTCTGTCGGTAAAATTCGTACTATGAATCATTAAAAGAAATATATGGAATCATATATATGTTATTTTGAAAGAAAAGAAGACAGTAAGAACATGTAAATTTGGCTGCCTCTGAAAAGTTTAACCTCATACGAGTTGGCTAGAGAGGTGTGCTAACATTTGAAGCATTTTTTCAACGTTCTTTAAACTTTGATGACTTTTGTAACTTTTCTTCCAAATGCATTCTGATGAGACGACAAATGTTAATATTCTTCTGTCAAATTTACGTGCTAATAATGATGAAAATATTGTGTTGATCAAAACTGGTGCTTTGAATCCTGTTCATCGTAGTCATATATCGAATTTAGTTCAAACCAAACAATATTTAGAAGATGTTTATCATTTCCATGTACTCGGTGGTTACATATCACCGACACACGATGAGTATGTTTATCTTAAATTACGCGATGATTGGATAACGGGTGAATGTCGAATTGCGATGTGTGAAAAAGCGATTGAAGAAGCTGGACAACAATCGTGGCTAAGTGTCGACAAAGCCGAATGCATGGGTAAATAAGCTATTATCTTATTTGCTTCAACTTAAAGTTGAAGCATATAGAACTGCGTTTGATGATAGTCACTATTTTAGCTAAAGAATTTGTTGATCTTAGTATTGTTTCTTCGAGTCTTCAGAAATTTATCAATGATAAACTTAAGTTATCAACACCTATTCGTGTCATTTATGTGTGTGGTCTAGATTTATTTAATCGTTGTGGTGGATTGCGTTCATTAAGATACTCAAAAATGGGCGTGGCTGTTGTATATCGACCTGGTGAACAAGAAACAATTGTGAAACAGGCAGTTATCAAAGATTCAAATATATTTTATGTACCCATTAAAGATGAAATAAAATGGACGCTAGAAGATGTTAGTTCAACATTAATCAGAAAAACGTTAAAGAATAACCAGTCATGTGAACATTTAACGTACACATCCGTTATCGATTATTTAAGAACGATTCCTATTAGACCTTTGAAACATAAATGCATTGTAGACGAGAAAGATGAATAGTTTAATTAGGATCTCATTGTTAAATAAAATATTTTGCTTTACTTTTTAAAGAAGAATTTAGGTTTGTATTGGTCATCACGTTTAACCGAAACTATTGAAAGCTATCAGTAGCCTGTCGGGCTCAATGAACTTGCATTTGAGCAGAAATATGTAGTTAATTCTGATCATAACTAGACATAGTATACAAGCCCCGTCGTGATGGATTATGCAGAGAAAATGAATTTTTTTATTCATAGATTCTCAGGTAAAAGTCCATCATAATCATTCATTCAGACGCATGCAATCACGCCTTTAGAACACTATTTGAACTAACAATGAATTATGAGAATTGAAAATTCTTTGCTTATTCGGTTAACCCAATCAAGATCAATCCAAATTATGTCAGAATATCAACATGTACTCTATTTTACCTAGTCAAAATACGATTTTTTACTTGAGGATAGTAAACTTGTACTTCGAAAGATTTCTAAAAAAGCTTTTCAAAAACGAAAGTATTTTCTGTTAGCTTTTAAACCTTTCATTGAACTGCATAGTGTTGAGCGGGTAAAATAGAGCATATCTTGATACCTAAAGAAATATTGATCGTGGAACTCTCAGAAAATCAGATGCCACGTCTGAACCAGAAAATATTAAGAGTTCGCTCTGTTCCCATTTTGGAGAAGACACTTTAATTGAGTCTATTCGAGGCAGTTTTAATTACCGAATAGCATCTGTTATTAAAAAGCATAGTTTTTTAGTGGCTCAATTGTTGTAAGTAAACAAACGGAAAAAGGCATGTTTCGACCGGAAATTGAAGTCTGGATTTTGGCCAACGTTCTAATCACTGAGCTACCAAAACACACGTTTATTCCGAGTGGTCTTAGTTGCCGAAATGTCTACTGCAATGGCACCTTACTGAGGCAAATTCTACTACATACCTTTACCGAAGACATTTGGCTCACAAAAAAAAGGCACAATAACATCAAAAATTAAATGACCTTTAAGGAAGCATTGATAAATCAATTTTCTCAAATGTTCTCGTGCTATACGAAAAGTTCTCACTGTATTCTATTTGGGTAGCTGAGATGATACTTGTTTCTCTCTTGAACCAAAAGGCGAATCTGAAGAAGTAAGAAAACGGTGAAGGAACTTTCAAGACTAGCCAAGTATAGTTAAAAATGCAGCTAACAATTCATCGGCATTATCTTTTCCATATTCTATGGAATGCAGTTTTAATTCCGATACCAGTTTTATTTATCATCTTGTGTTAGTCGAGCGATCAGTGACATTGTTCGCAATCGAGAAAACTAGCTTTGCTAAAAAATGTACAGATCAAGAAACTGATGTTAATAATAATGTCTACAGTTTTTAAATACTAAAGTATTTCGAAGAAAAGCATGACTTTTATAACATAACGTTAGAGAACGAACAAAGTTTCGAACATAATGTTTATTTGGCATTTTCTCGTTTTAGTTACTTTTTCTGTACCTCTATTATTCATTTTGACGTTTTTACTTTAATATATTTACTGAAGAACATGAAAAAAATGTTACTTTGATCACTGAACGAAAATAAGCGGTAACTATGAAAGGAAGAGTTGTGAGAAATTGTAAAAATAATCGTTGTCCATCTCACGCAAATTTCTAATCGAGATGGTATGTTACTGTTGTTTTTCGTGAATTACGGCTTGTTTTGTTAATAACCAGTCGAACAGTTTTCTAACAGAAAAAATTTGTTTCATCTATCATACTGTGAAGTATCGAAAGCTCGCTTCTTGTGTAAAATGATTTTACAAAAGTGTTTTACAATTATTTTAAATATACTTAGTTTTATAAGAAACGTAAAAAAGTCAAAGAATGTCAATAAACTTGTCTGTCAATAAACTGTCTGTTGTATTGTATTCAACCGGCAGTTCGAGAGTTGTGTCAATACTGTATTTACATTTAAGCCCCACCCCTAAAAAAAAGTCGACTTCTGGCCTACCAAATAGAGCAACAGCTCGGCTATCAAATTTACTACAATCGATTCATCCTGTGTTGAATTTTAAGGATCTTACGTTAATTTTTCTAAACGACTCCTACCCAAGAATAATAATTAGTTAGGAAAAGCGAAGCTTTGGAGCACGCTCATCGTTCTCCGTTATCGGTCATTTGAACGCTTCAATATCAGAAATGGATTAGAATATGCATATATCTCTATAAGAGAAACGATCTAAGAATTTATTCTACAACCCATCACAAACCTGTAGGTTCTGACATCAATCGTGACAACAACAATAGTGTCTGAAAACGTTTGAAATTCACACTTTCGAATGCTGGACACGCGTGCGAGATCAAATGAAGGTGAACATGTTCGCTGAAATAACTTCTCGGACATTTTCATGTCTATGTCTGTATTGAAGCAGAAATATCGTCGAAATCGTTGATTACGACGGTCACTGTACGAAAACAAACGGTAACTATGAAAGGAAGAGTTTTGAGAAATTGTAAAAATAATCGTTGTCTATCACGCGCAAATTTCTAATCGAGATGGTATGTTACTGTTGTTTTTCGTGAATTATGGCTTGTTTTGTTAATAACTAGTCGAATAGTTTTCTAACAGAAAAAATTTGTTTCATCTGTCATACTGTGAAGTATCGAAAGCTCGCTTCTTGTGTAAAATGATTTTACAAAAGTGTTTTACAATTATTTTAAATATACTTAGTTTTATAAGAAACGTAAAAAGGTCAAAGAATGTCAATAAACTTTGTGAACTGCAGATACTGAGTATGGCTTCATCTCAAGCACTTAAAAGGAAGTTTGAGGAATCAATAATCAAAAAGTCCATTAAACCACCACAGATCGTATTTGATAAATCTGATGAAACAGAATACATCGTTATTTGACTCGATGAAAATACTGAGAAAATAAAACAAACATGTATCAATAAAATAAAACTACGTCATATTCTTGATTTTCTTCAAACATTCAGTCAAATAAATGATTGTGAACAATTCATTGGAGAAATTCAGTACGAAAAGATCTTTTTAATCACTACATGCAAAATGGGACAAGAATATGTACCTCGTATACATGATATATGTCCATTACATTCTATTTATCTCTATCAAGAAATTGACGACAATTCGGAAAAATGGTATCATATGTATAAAAAAGTGACGAAAAAATCCATTCCGAGGTTTAATGTCGAAAGGAGTTCATAGAATGATAATCAATTCTTTCTAGGTAAAATATGTATACCAAAAAGCAGATGATTTACTTTTGGAACTGTCCAAACACCTTCGAAAATTTAATAGATATACAGCATCAAAAGTAGTATCCATATTCCATGCTAATGAGAAAGAAACAACAACTCAAGAACAAAGTTGGTTTCATCTCCATCAAATTGCTTAGATGAAGATGTACAATCTGTTCTATTTCAAATTTCTCTCGATAAGTGGAAATTCAATAAACCTTTTGCTGATATTAAAAGAAGATGAGAAAGAAGTCATTTTTGCTCCCGGTGTTTTCTTTTGCACACGTAAAGTCAAATATGACGAAGAGAATAAAGTATGGCCGATAGATTTTGAACCTATGGAGTTGAACAGTGAAATAAAAATTAATTTAGAGCAACAACTCATTAAACTTGAACTTCTGCTAGAAACATCGCGTCTCGATGCAGTTCAAAATGGTGACTTAAATCTTCAATCTGAATGGCATAAATTGTCTAATGAATTAATCCTTATTGATTCCGATGCATACGTATACAGTATCTACTTTCAACCGACAACAGGTAATATCAATAGCAAATTTGAGTTAAAGACACTACGAAAAATGCAACAGTTGCAAACTTTTCCAAGCAATTGTACTAACGAGATTAGAAGCTGTTTATACGATTGCCTAGCAATAAGCTGTGCAGATAGAAATAGTCTAACTGAAGCACTTAAATATTATGAAAAAGCAGCTGCTGTTGGCCACACATCCGACAAAGAAGCTAATTTATCACGAACTATAAATATCGCTCGAATATATAAGATGAATAATAATTTTGAAATAGCATGGAAAATGTGCAAAAATCTGATGAAAAGAGTTGGATTCAATGAACTTGAAATTTATGGTTCTATAGCTACAGCAGCAGTAACAGACTTATCTAAAATGTTGCAAAATTGCAGGAATTTTGTTGATTATACTACTATAAAAGCTAGAGAAACGAAAAAATATTGGGAGGATATTCGAGATGTATACTTTTGAATTGGGGATAATTATTACGACTTAAAATTACCCGAATTAGCTATGTCTTGTTATGAGCAGGCAATACTCATTATACGAAAAGGTAGTCCATATGATTATGGTTCGATTTCTGCTTGTCACAAAAAGTGTGCAGAAGTACATGAAAAGCAAAAAAACCTTGATAATGCAATCGACTGTTATAGAAAAGTATTAGATGAATACTTGGAAGATTATGAGCCAGATGAAGAGGATATTGTGGATATCGCGAATACTCACTGTAAAATTGGACAGTTATTTAGTTTAAAAAATAATATTAAACAAGCTTTCAGCTCTGTTAATAGGTCATTTAGGTATTGGTACGAAAATATTACAGAGTTTGAAGATTGGATCCTCGATCTTGTATACTGCTATGATCTGTTGGCACAAATATATGAAAAATGTTCTAACATTAACCAATTGGCAGTGCAATGTTATACAAATGCTCTTCAATTACGACTGATGAACGTTAATTCTCATTTGATAACTGTTAATTCGCAAATCATAAACAAATTGGAAATTGTTCGGGAGTGCGAAAGTATCATTCTGAAACAAAACAATGGTAAGTGAAGAAGAAACTAACAGCGAATAAATTTGAAATTCACTTCGTTCTCATATAGCTGCAAGTACAACTGTTGGTTCATCAAAAAGCATGATAAAAATGGAGTATTTGAAAACATTTATGTTGGATGAGCGGCTTAGTGATTCGCAAATTCGAGAAATGTTACTCAAAACAGTGAATGCTTTGGAATAACTGAAACAAGAGTTAACAAGTGA